CTCCTGAACCTGGTTCCCTGGCTATCCTCCACTCCGCTCGATCACCCACTGCCATGTTCATACTCTAGACCAGTGCTGTCCAACCACCTCCTGCCACCATGGAAATGTGTAATCTTCACTCTCCAATGTGATAGCCACTAGCAATGTGTGGCTGTTAAGCGCCTGAAATGAGAAATACATGTTTAATGTTTTTAATTTGCTTTAATAATGATTAATTTAAATCTAAGTTTAAATAGCTACACATGGCAGTGACTATTGTATGAGACAGCGCAGGCCTTGGCCTTGTCCTTCTCTTCAAGTACAACACCCCACGGTCTGAATTACAAGCCTCTCACTCTCGGCCGATACCATACAAGCACCATTTTAGTACATCCAAGTCTTTTATGAAGTGGGGCTTTAGTTACGATCTATGGAAATAGTTTACATGGGAATAAAGAGGTATGATTGCTGAGTGTACGGTCTAGGGCAGCTCACTGAACTTGGGAGTTGGAAGAGATGCACACATTCTCACTGTACGTAAGTCGGCTGTGGTATGCCACCAGATAAAAACGTTTGGGGGACAGTTGGAGACGTTTTGAAGTAGACTGCATGTCGGACGATATCGTTGAATTTATGTTGACTTTCTTAGACGTGGTATTGATGTGATCGTGTGAGAACTACCCTTATTCTTGTGGGATGCATGCTGAAATAGCCTGATAGCATCCCGATATTTGAAAACCACTTTCAGATGTGTGTATGTGTGTGTGAGAGAGAGAGAAATAGAGAGACAGACGGACAGACAGACAGAGACAGAGAGGAAGAAAATGTGCTAACAGGAGATAGAATGGGTGAGGGATACATTGATGTTCATTAATGAGCCTGCTCTTTCAACTTCTCTGTTGGCTTGGTATTTTTCAAAATAAAAATTAATTGGCTGCCAACAGAAGATTTCATATAAATATCTGGATTTGTGGTTTCTACTGCAAGGAGCCTAAAGCCTTGCGATGTTGGGCTCCCGCTCTCAAATAGGACCATTTAGCTGAATCCAATAGACAGGGCGTGTGCTCTCCAGGCCAGTCTTAACTGGCCCCCTGCCCTCGTTAGGCTGACTTTCCCGAACCCTGTGGGCATTTGTATCTGTGCTTCTGGACTAAACACTGTTCAAGGAACCTAGAATGGTTTTTTGTACGATGGTCTTTCAAGCACTTGGTAGAGAAGGGGAAAAAACGAAAAAAGACGATGCCTACTCAGTATCCTATTACTGCCGCTTCTTCTCACTTTCCTTCTTCTTATGCCCTAGGTTAATATTCGCAACTAGTTTCACGCTTTCTTAAACACATTTCCCAGCTTCCTCTGCTGACCCTTCTTGAAAAAATGAAACCGCTTAATTCCATTATAAGTTTTGAATTTTAATCACACTTCTGGAGTTAGGTAACTCTAGACATGAAAGAACTTGGAGAGGTGATAGTCACCCAAGTTACTTTCTCCTTTGAAAAGCTCCCAGATGGTTCAAGGGACTAAGAACTCAGGGTCGAATAAGCTTGTTCCAGGTTGAAACAGGTTGACGACGCCTGATTCACTGAGGGTTGGGCTTTCCGTGACTCGGCGCCCTCTGGAGGCTGCAGTGAGAAGTGCAGCCGACCGCCGGGCGCTGCCCCCTGGGGCTTTGCGCGGACAGTGACGGAAGGAGGGTGGGGAAAGAGGCAGAAGCGTCCACGCCTTCCGATCCGGAAGCCCTATCCAAACCGTCCTTCAGCCCACCCTTGAGGTCGCGGAAGTATCGGGCTCGTGTTCTGCCCAACTTTTCTTTGCCTGCAGCTCGTATTCTTCCAGCCGTCACCAGTGTTAACAGGCAAGACGGGTGGTGTTTGTTTTACCCTGAGACTATGGTGATCAAAATCAGCATTCCTTTATTTTTCTTTTAGAACAGATTTTGTTTAAAAGACAAACGCTGCCTTTGACAAACGCTACATTGGCTATTGACTTTGAGAAATAATTTGTCAGAGTATCCGCTCTATAACAACAAGGTAAGTGCCCTGGATTTTTTTTTTTTTTTTCTTTTTAGTGGGGAAATGCTTCCAAAAGCTGCTTTGGCAGAGGATGAATATTCTGACTGCATTCCTTAGGAATGAATGTCTCTTCTTCAGGAGTTTCTTGATTAGGGTTAAAGCAACAGAATGAGGAGGAAGTCAGGAAGCGAATGAACATTCTAGGAAGAGACAGACCACCCTAAAGGAAAGTGTCAGTGAGAATAACAGAGTCATGGGACTTTCTGTGATTCTGGACACGCCCCTGATTTCATATTCTGGATGAGATGGGAGTACGAGGCACAAGACCCTCCACACAGCTTGCGGCAGGAAGAACTGGTTATAAATGCCCATGACACTGACTTCCCCCAATCTGTCCTGACAAACACAGGCATCTCCATTTTCCTGTGACCTCGTCGTGGACTCCAGAGTGTCCCATGTGACTTTCCGTGGGGGCTTTGTTCTGTATCAAGCTCAGCCGATCCTGCCTCTAAACAAGGTTAAGACACTCATCCCCCACCCCCCAATTCATATAATATCTTTGTCGCATGGCAGGACGTGGTCCAGGACTCTAGATGCTCTGAATAAAAACTAACATTTTTGATGACTGCAATTCTTAAGGTTCAAGGAGGCTAGGTGATTGCAAAGGATCCCTTTAATCTAAAGTTCCCAGGGACTCAGAGTTTTGGCAAACTAGCTAATAACAAGAGCTCGATTTTTAATTGAGCACTTACTATGTAGCGGATCCACTTTTACAACGCTTCTAACATATAAGCAGTCATTTAACTTTATGACAAATATTTAAAATAAGTACCACTATTATTTACATCGGCATGGTAGCGATGAGAAAACTAAGACGCAGGAAGGGTAAGACAGCTAACCCAAGGTCACACCGTTAATAAGTGAAGCCAGGATTTAAAGCAAAACAGTCTAATTTCAGGGCCCTCGTTTTTAACCAAAATGCGATTCTGCCTCAGCTCAAAGATGAAAGGAGGGTATTTATATTCCTATACAAGTCGAATTCTGTGACAAGCGTTCCCTTCCAGGCTTGTGATATAAAGGACCTTCCTCTAGCAGCATAGTATGGCCAAGCGAGTTGCAGTGATCGGGGCTGGTGTGAGTGGCCTCTCCTCCATCAAGTGCTGCTTGGACGAGGACCTGGAGCCCACCTGCTTTGAGAGGCGCGATGACATCGGGGGACTATGGAAGTTTTCTGTGCGTAGTTCATTCCCTCCCACCTCCATCGGTCATAATCCGACTGTGAGCTCTGTCCCTGCTCAGGCACGGTGGCTTTAGCCTACCTTGGTGACCAAGTGAGGGAGCTGCTCACCCAACGACACGCACTTGGGCATGATGCGATGCCACGCTGACACTGTGCAGACGCGGTCTCATAGGTGATGAGCCTGGAGGATTGGCAGGGAGGGAAACTGGGGAAGAGAACGGAAGAAAGAGTCGAAAGAGTTAAGTTTGATACACAAACACAATATCGAAAGTTATGATGATTTCCGGACCATGGACATTCTAAGACAAAGTAGCTGAGTGTCGCATCAGGTAAGCAGAATGGCCTTGGTGAATAGGGAGCAGATGACACTTTAGGAAAGATGGAAGTTGGCATCAGGTCATGGAGCCCCAGCCCTCAGGCATCGTTCAGGTCCTTGTGAAGACAGTTGGCAAGGGCGAGGCAAGAACCCTGACCTTGAAAGAAATGATCAGAATAAGAATCCCCCAGGCACTGATCGATCCTTCTTGGGAGTGGAATATGCAGCTGGGGTTACGCTCAGGGCTAGGCCAGCCATTATGTGACTCGAGCATCAGAAATTGGGGCTAGAAGTGGCTAATACCAACTGCCTCTGGCCAGGATTGGTCCCGGGTACTGGGGGTAGCAGGATCTTTAGTGGGGTTCGGGGAATCTGCCCCAGTAGTGAGGTAGAAGGTGTCTGAAGACGGGAGGCCTGAGTATTGAATGCTTCAGGGGCAAGAGACGAGCAGTATTCATTGGGAGCTCAAGATGGGAGAGAGTACTTCAGACTAGTATGAATGAGGGAAGCCTTCATGGAGGAGGTGGCATCTGCCAGTCTTGGGTGGTTGATGAAGAAACAGAATAAGCAAATGCATGTGAGCAGGAGCGGTCACAAGCTTAGGATTACGGCCTTCTGGGGTCCTGTGAACCTCATCAGGCGCCAGACGTCGTCCGCGTGGAAAGAAAGTGTCGTGTCTGGTTTGTGTACCCTTGCTATTTGACCTCACGGTTTGTTTGGTTTCCTTCTCCCAACCTAAAGTAATACAGATTAATTTGAGAAAATAATATTTAATTAAGCAAAAGGATCAATGCAAATTAAATATAACATCAATACCCATGGGTCAGCGCCCTTAAAGTTTTCATGTAATTTCTTCCAGTCATATATATGCAATTTTTTTTCAAAAACACATTTGTAGTATTAATTTTCATTCATTCGAATAGTACTTATCATGCCCTTCTCTCAGGATACGGTGGGGAATGAGGTAGACAGAGGCCCTGTCCTCCTTACAGTGTGGCGGGGAACGGAATCAGTAAACAGATGATCGCAGGGACGCGTGATCAGTTCGGAAGGGCAGGGTGCTATGGGGCCACAACAATGACCTCGCGTAGGACTGTTGGGTCAGGGACGGCTTCTCAGAGAAAGCGACAGCTCAGAAAGAAACTTGAAGGAGAAAGAGAGATTAGCTGCAGCCACAAGAAGTTCACGGGTGCGGTGCCTTTAATGTAGACCTTTCTGTTTTTGGGGGTGACGGAGACGGAGACGGAGACGAGGCACCGCTACACAGTTGGGGAGTCTGAGGGAACAGAGGCTGCCAAGATGACGATCCCTTCGTGAAACTTGAGGCAGGACAGACAGACGTGAGCTTGGAAGGGGACTTAGGTTGAAAGGGGACAGTTCTGTTTCATTTTCAAAATTAGAGCCTTCGATATTTTAAGAGCCAATGGGAAGGAGCGAATGAAGAGAGACTGATTGGAAATATGTAAGAAAATAAATAGAAAAATCAGTGAGGAGTTCCCGGAAGAAAGGCATGAGGAAGAGGTTCAGAGCCTGGGTGAGGGGATTAACCGTGGCAAGGCAAGAAGGCAAAGGCGAGCGAGACAGACCAGGGGCCGGCCCCACGTTCGTGGCGTCACGCAAGGGCACGTTAGCCTCAGAGAGCCCTGTTACCTTTTGGTAGCTGCTTTGGAGTCTGAGAAAGACACCGTGTTGAATAATTCCAATCCCAGCAACGGCTTCTGACAACTCGAGCATGGGGACCCAGTGCTAAGTGTTCCTGGAACTCTTTGGAAGGACAAGTAGAAAAGCAACCTCAGGTCTCGATTCTCTCCCTCCTGTCTCCCCCACTCATCAAGCTAACTGTGCCCTCACCACAGGAAACTTCCAAAGATGGGATGACCAGGGCCTACAGGTCACTAGTGACAAATATCTGCAAAGAAATGTCATGTTACAGTGACTTCCCCTTCCGAGAAGATTATCCCAATTACATGAACCATGAGAAGTTTTGGAACTATCTCCAAGAATTTGCTGAGCACTTTGACCTTCTGAAATACATTCGGTTTAGGGTAAGACCCCTCGGGTTATGAAAGGCTAATGAACGGGCTGGCCCAGTCACAAATCTAATGAAAATTGAATGATGAATCAAACTTCCTGGTTTTTTTTTTTCTCTCTGGATAAGGCAAATAATAAAGACTTAGCCTGAAGCTCAAGTTTTACTCAAATAAATCATTAAAATACTGAATTTCCTGCTACCTCCTCTAAATCTAAATTGTCCTTCAGGATGAAATTCGGAATTTTGGGGGGTGGGGAGGAATAGGGAAGGAAAAATGAATTTTGTTCATGAAACCCATTGGGAATAAACGACTAGAAGTCTGAACCACAGAAATGATAACGGGTCAAAATTCATTTTCCTAAATTGTCCCAATGCATCTGCTATTGTAGTTCATCTCTTTCTTGCCAGGAATAAAAACTGAATGTTTCTTCTTGCCAGTGAAGGCGTTCAGATGTTTTGAGAATGAGTCTGTATGACCACTTCTGAGACATTGCCCAAGTTATCTAACTTCTCCAAGGAGAAGATAAACCAGTAACAGGACTCCAATCGTGAGGCCAACTCGGCCCGCTCGAAGTGACAAACATGGGTACCACACTGTCCCCATCATTACATGAGGTTCCAAAGTGTTTGTCTTTTGCTTTCAGACCACGGTGTGCAGTGTCACGAAGCGTCCAGACTTTTCCGAAACTGGTCAGTGGGACGTTGTCACAGAGACAGAGGGAAAGCGTGACACAGGGGTCTTTGACGCTGTAATGGTTTGCACTGGACACTTCCTGAACTCCCATTTACCTCTGGAGTCCTTTCCTGGTGAGTCAGTTTCTACCTGAGACCTGGGTTCTTCTGGAAGGAAAGATATTCATTCGTAATGGGAAATACTCCCTAATGATTATGGCCAGTTTTATGTTCACCCTCAGAAATAACTTTGAAAGGCATAAAGCACAAGATTAGTGTGAGGTCTTATTATTTACTTGTTAATATAAGTGCTCCTGTTCTTTAAGCTTTATCCTGCCTTATACTTAATTCCAAAAGTATCAGTTATTTGAATCAAGAATGACCTATATAGTTCAATAACTTAAAGAAAGTGAGAATATAAAGAAACTTGACAGATTTCTTTTTTTTTTTAAGAAAAATAACAGAAATTATATATCCAAAGGAATATTTTCAGCTTTCAAAGCAGTCGCCACAATAATAATCTATACGCCCCTTACACCAGGGCTAGCAACTCAAAGGAGCTTTAGAAATTCCCTTTTGGAAATGCTTTTAACTCCAGCGGCACATTCTTTTTAATATACTCACAATCGGCAAATCATCTTTTGAGATCAAATGAGAATTACGAAAATGTAGTAAAGCTACTCTCTTCTTCTGTCACATCTAAGTAACCCTAAAGGCCATTGAGTAAGTGACGTTTTGAAACTTTTTTAAGGAGGTGAAAGACCTTTTAAGGACAGGTGTGGAGAATAAAGCTTGCAAACCTTGGCCAATAAAAACATGAAATCTAAGTCTTACAAACGTAATCTCAAATTAACAAAATATCTTATTCAAAAAAAAAAAATGTTAGGAATCCAGTGAAAATTCAATACACAATTTTGCAAAGAAGCAGTATCGTAAATGGCGGTCCGGCTTCAGGCTTGCTGCTAGGCTGGGGGCTAAACGCACACACACACTAAAAGTATATTTAACCACCTCGTGTAATAGTGTTCCCATGAGGAAATGTGTGACAAGTGTCAAACAACTGATACTTTTGGAATTTGGTGTCTTGTCAGGTTTGGGATGGTTTGCCCTTTACTGCTAACTCCCCTTTGTCCCACTTAAACTGTAACTGAAGAAGGACGCTTGTTGCAAAAGACCCATCAAGAGATGAGCGGTGAGGACCCTGGGGCAGTAGCAAGTATGTAAACTGGCAGAGTTGTTCCCCAGGGAGGACTGGATAACTGTGAACTAGAATAGCGAGGTAGTTTTGCGTCATTTTGAGAGCAAGCATCTGCGATCAAATGAGGATTACAATAGAAAAAATGATTGCAATAGAAATACTGGGGTGCCCCTCCCTTTGCCCTAAAACACAGATGATGGAGAAGAGGGAAACCCACCCGTCCAGATTCAGAGACTCCCCCTGAGGAGGTCTCAGTTTGTGACCAGATTTTAAAAGGCTCTGTACAGGGGCAGGGAGCCCCAACCTCCTCTCTGCGCCCAGGGTAAGGTCTCTTGGTGAGTGGATGTGGTGTAAGGTTTTGGGGGAGTCCTGGTCTGCTACAGTTCCCTCAGGGCTATGGCCCTTAAGAGGTGGCATTTAACACAATGATTCTGAACAAAGTTTTGGAGTCAGACGGTCTGCACCAAATCCTGGCACTAGTTCCCTAAATATAACCACTCTGAGCCTCAGTGAAGTGAAAATTCAAGTTCCCATCTCACAGAGTAGCTCTGAGGATGAAACAAGACCATCTATGCACAATGCTTAGCATACAGAGCACATAGTAGGCGCTCTACCACAATGGCAAGGTGCTCCAGGGGTGACAAGGCAGACTATGCCTACGTCTCTCAGCAGACCCCAAGGGTGTCACTGTATATAAGAAGACAGTGCAATAATCGAAGGTGATAGGGTGACCCTGGGTTATCCGTATGTCCTACCTCTAAGACAAAAAATAGATCAGTGCTTCAGGGGGAAAAAACGCATCTCTTCTATTAAAAAATTTAAGATGTTGATGTTTCTGTGCTAAATTGTCCAGTCATCTGAACATTTCTCTCTCCAGAATGTAGTGTTGCCTTTCACTGAGTGATACATTTATTGTATGGCGTTATAATTCCCCAAAACGGGGGGATGGGAGTTCAGAAGTTCTCAGGAGTCCCCCAGTTCTCATCTCCCGGACCTCATCCCCAGACCCCAATGTGAGATATAGAAAGCAAAATACAGTAAAATGAAAGCCGAACTTTGACGTAAATTCACGGCGTCTTTAGTACCCGTTAACGCGTGTTCGTTGAATAAAATCAGGTGCCGAATAGCCTTTGAGGAAAACAGGCTGAAGGAAAGGAATTAGTGTAATGTTGGGTATAGGCCGTCACCACAGCCTGGTGCTTCTCAACCTCCGCCAGGACCCAAGATGCTTATTTTAAAAGCAAGTCAATGTGGCACTTTCAGAATAAGACTCCCAAAGTGGGATCCTGGAAGCCTACTCCCCCGGGGATACGATTCTTGTGCAAACTAGGTCATTTCCATACCCAAAGTAGAGGCAGGGCAGAGTTCAAGTTGCTGGCTCTGACTCTGATATGCATGGATTATGGATAAATCTTGTATCCTAAGTCCCTGCTTCTCCACTGGGGTGGCCTTAGGGTGAAATCAGCTGCCACCCTGAAGGGCCCGGCCCAGGACCTGAGACAGAGAGTACTCAGTAAAAGTCAGCTCTAGGTGTCAGTATGAAAGAGTTCTGCCCTCTCTCTTGGAGAAAAAGAAATGGAAAAAGGAAATAACTTACTGGTACCGAGTTAAATACAATCACCTGCTGCGATTTCCAGGGCAAACTCAATCGTTTGAGAAAAACAGCTGTACAGTAGTGGAAAGTGCCCTGGAGCCAGATCTAGAGATGTGACTGTTTGTGACAAAGTGTGTCCGGGTGTGGCGTGGACTTCTGGTTTCCTCTCCTGTGATGAGAGTCAGCTTTCCTTTTGATGACATTCCCGGGAGGGGGTTTATGGCCACGGAGCTCCTGCTGGAGGCTCGGTCTATAGACAGATCAGGGGAGCTCAGAGAAAGTCTCCCCCTGCACTTGCTGTTTGTCAAGTTCCTTCAGCTCGAAGTAATTAACATGCCAAAGCGGCATATATCTGGGTGGCATGTCTGAACCCCTGCGGTGGAAAAGTGAATATTTCAAACACACCGGCCATCCAGAAATCACATCAAGTCGCCACATGAGTCCCTGAAGGAAAGGGTGAGGCATCGGGAGAGAAAGCCCTGGCCAAAATCCTAGCCGCTTGGGAATAGAGAGATGAGTCGTTTCTGTCAATCTTTTACACCAAAGTGCAGGAAAGCGCCGACTGCTTGGTTAATGATTTAAAATGCTGTCAAGCATTCTGGCATCTGGCTGAGGTTGACTCTTTTTCAGGTTGCTTTTCTGATTTTCACTAACCACAGTATCTTTCACAAATAGTTATAAAACTAACGTCACACATTTTGTTACTTGGGAACATAAACTCCGTATCAAAAATATCAGGGCTATTTCCATCAAAAAATCCATAGAAAAGATAAGCTTTCTCTACCAGGTGTCACCACGACTCTTTGAAAGCTGAAAAATGAGAAGCACATCACCTTTCTGTATGTAGATGAATCGTCTTTCACTTTATTTCCTGAATAAGTGGTTTTATTTACCAGATTCCCTTTTTTTCTTTTTTCTTTTTTTTTGGGGGGTGGGGGGCTCTGCCTAATTAACATAATTATTGACTCAGAACTACCTGCGGGTTGTATCCTTTCTCCTGGGTCTGCTCAAACACGCAGTTGTGGAGAACTGATCATTTGCAAGGCAGCGTGTCAGGCAATATGAAACATAGGAAATGTATGAGCCAAGGTTGAGCCCTCAAGAAGCTTGTCTCCAGCCGAATCTCACTCAGTGGCTTGAAGCCCCACATTCGAATGCATGTGGTGCACCAGCTGCTCCCCGCCTTCTTAGAACCCTCTTAGTGCTCCCCTTTTCAAGCTCCTAATCACCCTTCGAATGTCACTCTTTAAAAATATGTATATATCACTTCCTGCAGGCTGCCTTCCCCAGCTCAGTCTAGGCCGGATGCCCCCTGGAGCCATGCTGACACCTGTTCTGGGGGGCTGCACAGTGTGTTGTGCCGGACAGCTGACCTCCAGCTTCAGATGAGCTGAGTTTCTGTCCAGGCTCTGCTAATTACTGTACGGCCTTGGGCAAGTTGCTTAACTTCCCTGTGCCTCACTCTGGCATGAGTAAAATTGGATAATGATATTGTCCACCTTAGGAGGTTGTCGTGAGGTTCAAATTAATTGATGGGTTTAAAGCCCTTTGAAGAATGCCTGGGGCTGCGTGATGTTAGTTGCCATTGCCTATTGACCTACGTCTCACAAGGATGAACTCCTTGAGGGTAGGTACTGCCTTTTACCCTCACATCTCCTACACCTAAATCAGCACCCCGAGACCTATGGTGTTGAAAGGACAAGTCGTGTAAGGCCTGATTGTCAGCCAGGTGTACTCTTGTGGGTGATGCCCCAGCAGGCCCGTCCTGTGGGCTTGTCCTTCCCCCGCCCCGGCTTGCCCGCTTGCCATCCCAGGCCATTCTCACTGCTTTTCTGCTCACTCTCATATAATGGGAAGTCCTCTGATCACTTTAAATCACCCCAAATTTCTCATTTTCATACCCGAACCGTCCTGTCTTGTGCAATAGTCAGAACTGGCACCTACCTGCAGTGGGAGGCTTCTCGCCTCACCTGGCTGGCACAAGCTGTGGGCTGCCAGCTGCAGTGGGAACAGGTGGCGAGCACGGCCTCTCCCTCCCTCTCTGCCAGTTCCTCCTCTCCCCGACCCTTCACCCAGAGCTGCGGACTCTGATCCCTCCAGAACTGGAGGCAGGGGAAGGACGAGAAGAGAAGACCCAGCGGGCAGGAGAGCTTCTTCTTGACCTCTAGTTTTCTCCGGCCTCGGGGGTATTTAAGATGGATGCCGTGGGGGATGCTTTCATAGGTTCTGCTTCAGAGAGACGCTGCAGACTGGGGACGTCTCAGAGCCTGACTCTGGGCCACGCGCATGCAGGCTGGCCACTACGACTCCTCAGACCCTAGTTCTCCAGGTGAGTTCCACACAGGCTATCCAGTAAGGCCTCGGTGCCTGTCCAGATGGCTACCTCGTGCAGAATCCCTTTCATTCATTCATTCATTCGTTCATTCATTCGTTCGGCATCTCCCATTGTCAACAGTAGACGAGAAACCTACTGCCAGGGAGCCAGCACCTCCTGCAAGCGCCTCCAGTCACAGCCTTTCAAGTACGAGTCAAACACCAGTCTCTGCGCTGCATAGACTCCCAGGGTCAAGGTCTCTTCGAAGCCCCTCGGACCTGGCTCCAGGTCAAGGGGACAGAAAAAGCCACCGCACTTTAATAGTTCCTTTCATGGAATTCTCCAATTTCCAACTCTTGGCCACTTCAGCTTCATACTGAGTGAGGGGCTAAAGATCACAAAACTGGTCAGCGCACACATTCTTTGCAAATTCCGCAGAGCTGCTTAGCAACCCCGTTAGGACACTGTTGTATTTAGTTGTCAGCTTTGAGGACCTCAGCGGGCGAAGAATCCTATTCAAACATTGTGTTACATAGTAGCTATTCAGTAAGTGTTATCGAGTGAATGAATTAGTTAATGACTGTATGGTAGGAGAATGATATACTCTAGGAGACAGTTTCATCTTTTTCCATTAAAATTTCAACGTACTTGAAGTATTGGGGTGAGAGGCCGTCAAGTCCCCTTGACTGCCGGGCTTCCTTTTCTGATTCTTTGTCAGTGTTTGTCAGTGTCTGCTGGCCGCCGACCCTATCTGCCACCTGTGTTTCCTCCTCCAGCTTTCATAATTTGCAGCCACCACTGTCAATACTGTGTTACTACTGTTTTCAGTTTATATGAATCCATGTTCTATGTCTTTTATATACACCCACGGCGATAACTACCAAAAACAAATCAGGAGAAGAAATATTTGGTAGCGCTTCTCCTGCGTATAAATAGCATAATAGTGATACTTCTATTGACAGAGTATTAGGAGCCTAAAAGACCCATCATAAACATAGCTATAGAGAGAATAAAATATATATAAGCATATGATATAATAAAGCATTAAATGTACAATAACCGTAAAGTAAAAAAGCATAAAGCATAAGTAACGAGCCTAAATAACAAAAATAATGACTTCGCGTACAAGAGAACTTGCCACAAAATGTTTTTTTTGTGAAAAATAATTGAATTAAAATTCAATTTGTTAAAAATGTAATGCACACAAATCACATTCTTATGGAATGTATCTATTGAGTAAAATAACACGCATCAATAATCTACTTCTCAAAAAAAAAAAAAACAACCTACTTCTCGCCTTGGTGGTTCAGGGTCATGCGTGAGATGTTTATTCTTGTCTGCAGTGAGCTCGATTTTCCTAAGGAATGGCTTTAAAAGGGAACACTCATATGGGATAGAAATTCTCCTAATTTTTAACAAAGCGGTGTGTACTAAATCTACATCCGGGCTCCCAGCATCCAGTGGGAGAGGCAGATGTATGTTGGTCCTGCTTCTGGCAAATAGCCCCAGGAGCAAAGGGCTAACGTCTTTCCAGGACTTCCCCCTTCCCCGGCACCCCTGTGCCCACATGCTGGAGAAGCTCTGATTTTCCGATCCCTCCTTCCCCTCAGGAATCTGTAAGTTTCAAGGCCAGATCCTGCACAGTCAAGAATATAGGACCCCAGAAGGCTTTGAGGGCAAGCGCATCCTAGTGATCGGTCTTGGGAACTCTGGAGGAGACATCGCCGTGGAGCTCGGACGAAGGGCAGCTCAGGTACACTGCCTCCGAACTCGCATCCCCCACACGCATCATTTCTGGTGACCGGAGAAAGGTATTTAAGAGCATAAAACACACTGGCCGATCGACGAATTATGTGGACACGGGTCGAGGGAAAATAAATCCACACTTCTCAGAACTGAACCGTCTCTGAGAGGAGCTATGGAAATCGTGGGGACACCAGCCCAGGAGGCATTTTTCCCAGGGGCCCCTTCGGGAACAAGACCGAATGGGCCAACTGCCCCACCCGTGCCAATTATCTTTCTTTTACGCTCTCCCTTTGTAATCCTGGCAAAACTCTCATGTAAAAATAGAAGGGGGTATTGTTTTCTGAACATCTCCAAATTTTCAATTAGAAGTCAGATTTATATTTTGTCCTAAGATAAAAGCAACCCTTACTTTGCCCAAGACGGTTACATAATGATTTTAGAAAGTCTAAGCACAGATTCGCAAATTAGAAATTATTCCACCCTAACATAAATTGTAGAACAATGATTAGATCTAAAATAAAATAGATTTTAATTCTGGATTGAATTTAATTTAAGCAGTTAATGTTGCTTTCTCAAAACTTCACATTAAATACTACATTATTTACATGTGGAAAATCGTCAGATCAACATCATATATTTACTAATACTATAATTTTTTATGCCAAACATGATGAAAATACATAACAGGTATGGAGATCAGGTAAAAGTGATTTGCGAAAACAGTGACAGCAACAGAAACAGATGGTCACTTGTAGATTTATGTGCAAATTCCCCAGTCCTCTGTCATTCTGAGACCAGAGTGTTGTAAGACCATTTGAAACACACCAAAGAAAAATACTACAAAATGATGGGCATGTGTTTATCCTTCTTGCCTCCCTTTTTAGGTACTTCTCAGTACTAGATCTGGTGCCTGGGTTATCTTCCGTTATACAGATGGGGGCTATCCAGTTCAAATGATGATTACAAGATACCGTCACTTTATTGCTCAAATTTTGCCTTCACGTGTGCAAAACTGGATTGAAGCGAGGCGGCTGAATAAAAGATTTAACCATGAGAATTATGGATTAAGTCTTACAAAGGGGTACTTGAATTTTTTTTCATTTAATGGGAAAATTATGGAATCGATATCTCTCACTTTATTTTATTCAGAGCTCCAAATGTTCGGTAGTTGGGATGCTGCCTTTGCTTATTCTGTTCTAAGCTTATTTCTTGAAGACGGTGTCCATCAGGTACTGCAACAGGTCTTAATGTAGGAGTATTCCCTGTCTGATAACAAAAGTAGTAACCTACGAGGCTAGGAGGAAATGAGGGGTGAAAACTTTGCATTTCCAGTTTGGAAATGAGGAAATTTAAATTGGCTTTGAGGAATCGCAGAATGGCTGGATCTACAAATAGAATTTCTAGCACCAGTGAGTACAGGTGGCCGGCTCTCCCTAACCTTTGATAAATGTCCACCCTGGCTGAATAGAAGTATGAATCTCTAATAGGAAGTATTAGAATTAATATTTTTTAATAAACATCTGCATGGAGTTGCACATTGGCAAGGAAAAGAAAACCTTCGAAGTGTGTGTAAGGTCATTAAATGTGACTTTTATTGTATGCTCGACCCACATATCTTTCTTTGGTAAGACAGCTTTCAACTTATAAAGAAAATTAATGGCAGTGGAATGATGCGATATGTAAATTTTGTAAAGACATTATGCTTGCTGCGATTCGGTAGAAATGATGTTCGTAATGAAAATATTTATCAGTATAAATAGGTACAGATTTTTAAATTTTTATCCAAAAAGTTTATTGTTAATTCCCTCTTTGTCTAATGTCAATTCTTTGAAGCCTGGGTGACATGAGACCCAAAACGGATCATCAGCTGGATTTTTATATACTCGACCCTGATATTCTTAAGAAAAGCTTTGCTCCAGAAATTAATTCCAAGAGACAGAGGC